GGGAGTGTTTAACAGTTTTCATTGGGTGCTCAGAGTTCTGATGCTAAAGGATGAGAGTAGATATCAAGAACCATGTCCTATCCTATCATGTCTATTGCCAGACCAAAATTGGCCTTGCTCAATCAGCCAATTTATTTCAGCCACCTTCTTCCATATCTAGACCTTGGAACTTTATTTCAATGGATTCTGTTACTCAAATTCCTCCTCAACAGGGTTACACCACTATTTTGGTGATAGTAGATTTATGTACCAAAACGGCTTATTCTATTCCTTGGAAAGGCCTTCCATTAGCTCAGACACTTTCCAGAACATGTTTTTTAGGTAGAAGGAATTAATCAGTCACATGATTTTGGATTACAACTTTCAATTTATCGCCAATTTATAGCTGCCTTTTGCAGCTTGTAAACATTTCAGTTCATTTATCTTTGTGTTATCTTGCGTCAAATCAATTATTGGTCAAACATGAATCAATTATAACAATACATGAGGTACTATATCTCATATCAGTAGGACAAAAGGATGGAAAGGTTGCAAAATTTGCCCATAACATTCAGTGCATTCTTCAACAGGGATGTTATTCATGCAATTTATAGCTATTGCCTCTTCATCTTGCCCCTCTATCTTGAACTCTAGCATCCACTATTTCTATCAGGCTTTCTACAGGAGAGAGAGAGAGAGAGCGCCTGCTCTCAGCTCCTCTTCAAGTACACTTAGATTCGGCCAAGGCTGCATACAAGTAGGCTGTAAATACAATGAGGCAAGCAGGTACCGAGACTGCAGTGGGAATTTTGATGAGACTTTCTAAGTTTTATATTCTGCACATATTGAAAGTTGGATTCAGAGGTGTTTTTTTTTTTTTTTTTAGGGGAAGGGTCTTTTTAAACAACAAATTAACTCAGTGGCTTTTTTCTATTCAATAAAGATTCACCCAGTCTTCTATTATTATTGTTTATTCATGAAGAGCTTCCTTGCCCTTGTGTTCAAACACTGCCTGTTCTCTGACCCAAATATGGAGAAACTCTGCCCCATAGGCTTTCCTCTTTGAACCCACCATCTTTCATTCCTGGTCCTAACCTTTCCCAGGCTAACCCCTATTCAGTACCAAGAGGAGAAAAAGAAAAACACCTTCCCTTCCAATTTATAAGATTTCACAGTTAAGTCCTGTTCTTAATTCCACCACTGTAGGAGAATACACAGTTTCTCATAAAGAAAGAAAAAATATTGATGTTATTTTTTTTTCATAGAATTGTATAATGAACCATATTCATAATGGCTGCTTTGAAACAGTATGCAGGAGCCAGGAGCAACTTCTCAAGCAGTTTTACTGTCCTTTTACAGGGATGCTTCTTACACACTCTATTTTTGAAACTTTGAAGTATTTGTATCACCATAGAAACTGCCAATATCCCTCAGTTGATCTACACTGGTCAACTGAGGAGGTAGGATTGGGAAGGGCCTTTGTTTGAATATAAGTATGTGTGAAAGAGGTATGTGCAACAATGAAAGGTGATGAGGGCATACCTAAGCAATTGAGGCCCCACACAATTTGAAAAGGTGCCTCTGCCTTTTCTTGCATGGAACTGTTGTTTCAAGAAACCTGAAATTTAGGCAAAAATCTCCTCCTCCCACACATGGGCATAAATAACCAAACAGTTGAATGAAGTGTTATGCTTGATGCCTTAAATGACAGTGTGAAAGTGTTGTCTAAACATGAAATTGATCTAATACAATTGTAAGATTTTTTAAGGTTAATTGGAGTATAAAATATATCTGTATCTATATTATAATAATAGAAATCCCTTTTCTTTTGAGAGTTTAGTATCTGCTTATTTTACATGTGTCAAATATTAGTCAATAAGATACGTTTAAAAGGGTTTTTTTTTGGTATGACTCCAGAATTTATAAGAAAAAAAAAAATTGTTTTTAAAAAAGTATCCCAATATAGGTAGTCCTTGATTTACAACCACTGTGGAGTCCAAAATTTCTGTTGCTAAGTAAGGAACTTATGTGAGTTGCAACTTTTATGCCACAGTTGTTTAATGAATCACTGAAGTTGTTAAACGAATCACTGCAATTGTTACGCAAATGTGACTTCCCCAATTGACTTTGCATCTCAGAGCTTGCTGTATAGGTTACAAACGATTACAAGACCCTGTGATGCTGCAACTGGTAACTACATAACTTACCAAGCACCCAAATTTTTATCATGTGACCAGTCATGTCACTTTTTCAGTGCTACTGTAACTTCGAACAATCACTAAATGAATGGTTATAAGTCGAGAGTACCTATAAATAATAATAATGCTTGTAATCATCAAATTGAAGTACAAGTAGTCCTCAATTTACAATTGAGCTGAGATCTTGCAACTGTCATAAATGTGATTCAGTTGAAGCATGCAAATATAAATCACATGACCTCAGGGATATTGCAATGGTCATAAGGGTGAAAAATGGTCATAAGTCACTTTTTTCAGTGCTGTGTAACTTCAAATGGTCACTAAGTGAACTGTTGTAAGTCAAGGACTACCTGTAATAGAAAAGTACAAAGTTATTTCAAGATATTAAGTAATAAGGAAACATTTTGAGTTGTGGCATGGCAAAATTATTGTTAATAATAGTAGTGTCCCCCAAGGCAGTGTTCTAAGACCAACTCTCTTCATACTCTACATAAATGACCTCTGTGATCATATTAAGAGCAACTGCGTTCTTTTTGCTGATGATGTAAAGCTGTTCAATACCACAGACAATACTGCTACCCTTCAAAAAAATCTTGACTGTGTATCAGAATGGTCAAACAAATGACAACTTCAAATCTCAACAAATAAATGCTCTGTTTTACATATTGGCAAAAAAAATCAGAAAATAAAATACAAGCTGAATAGTCAAGATCTTGTTGATGATCCAAGCTCTGTAAAGGACCTTGGAATACTCACCTCTAATGATCTAAGTGCTAGAGCCCACTGCAACTACATAGCCAAAAAGGCACTAAGAGTTGTTAACCTAATCCTACGTAGCTTTTTCTCTGGTAATATCACACTACTAACCAGAGCATACAAAACATTTGCTAGACCAATACTTGAATACAGCTCATCAGTCTGGAACCCACATTACGTATCTGATATTAGCACAATTGAGAAAGTCCAGAAATATTTCACAAGAAGAGTTCTCCACTCCTCTACTCATTGTAGAATACCTTATGCCACCAGACTTGAAATTCTAGAACTAGAAAACCTTGAATTACGCCATCTTCGGTCTGATTTAAGCATGGTATATAAAATCATACATTGCAATGTCCTACCTGTCAATGAATACTTCAGCTTCAACCATAACAACACAAGAGCACACAATAGATACAAACTCAAGGTTAACCGCACCAAGCTTGATTGCAGGAAATACGACTTCAGCAACAGAGTGGTCAATGTCTGGAATACTCTACCCAACTCTGTAGTTTCTTCCCCAAACCCCAAAAACTTTAACCTTAGACTGTCTACTATTGACCTCATCCCTTTCCTAAGAGATCTCTAGGGGGCATGCATAAGCGCACCAACGTGCCTACCATCCCTGTCCTATTATTTCTTTTATTTTTCTTTTATTTTTCTTATATGTACCCATTTCATGTATTCATAACTATGTATACACTTATACTTATTATCTTGTAAACAACTGACAAATCAAATAAATAAATAAATAAAATGTCACAGATGTCATCAGAAATCTAGATGTATTATTGTAAAATATTTTTCACCTTTTGATGTGGATTGATATTCTTGTAAGTGGAAATATTAGTACAGGGAGTCCCATTCTTACTGGTTGCTAAGAATGGCAATAATTTTATAAATAATTTGATTTATTTAGTAATCAACTTAAGTATTTCTAAGTTTAAATTATGGCAAAGCTGGTGATGAAAACTATCCTACATAATTATTTCTGTATGACAATCTAATAGGACTTCTAGAGGGAGAGGGAATAGCTTGAACCATAAATATTATTTCTAGATTCTCTTATGTAGCCAAAAATTAGTGAATATTGGTATGATATGTTCATATACCCTGTTTTCCTTCCGAAGCCCAAGGTGACATTGATCATTCTCCAGTTTTCACCCGCAGTGACAATCCTTTTCAATGGGCTAAGAGAGAGTGATTGACCCAAGGTCACCTCATCTTACTATGCACTCCACAGTCCAATTCCCTAAATACTAAACCATGCCATCTCTTGGTTTTTCCTGGCACCATGTTGGCATTTTGCTTATGGATTTGAAAGTTTTATCTCTGTGTGTATATATTGTTTAATCTGATAAACTATAAGGCAAATATTGTGATCAAAACAACATGGGAGTTATCCTCAGGGGTGGGATTCTACCAGTTCGCAACTATTCGCTAGAACTGGTTGTTAACATTCTAAGCAGTTCGGAGAACCGGTTGTTAGAAGAAATTACTGGCCTAATCCTGTAAGGAAGGCAGGAAGGAAACATTCTGGTATTGATTACAGAAACTGCGTCTCCATTAACCCTTATTACATTCTTGCCAGGACTATACTTCCTGTCTCAGGAACTTCTCTGGAGTTTTTTTACCCTCCTTTGCTGGTCCTTTACTTGTGTGGAGTGACCATTCAAAAGTTATAATGGCACTGAAAAAAGTGACTTATGACCATTTTTCACATTTACAACTGTTGCAGCATCCCCACAGTCATGAGAGGCCAGGCAAGGAGATGCATGCCTCGATGTGAGTGATATTGAGTTGGCCACACCCAGCCAGTAACATGACCACCAAGCCATGCCCACCAACTAAGCCATGCCCATAGAACTGGTTGTTAAAAACTTGAATCCCACCCCTGGTTATCCTATATATTTTGAATATGCTAAAGTCCATTTTTAAGGATGTTTGAATATTAAATATGTGAATACAGGCCTATGGCAATTTTTCAATGTCTTGTATATATCTCAAAGCAATTGATAAGAACTGCTTGTAACTCCTGCATTTTGCAATCCATTTCTGTTGCAGAGAATATTATATAACAATGGTCAAGTGGGTGAGCAACACTAAGACAGTTGTGCGGTGGCTAAACAGGCCTCAAAATCTATCCATCCTCACAGTGTGTGAAACAACCACTGGTGCCTGTAGTATGGTACGAAACTTCTTTTTCATTTTTAAGCTTACATTTTAATAATGGCTCTTATGCATGTAGGACAAGCTTTAGAGGTTTATTTTGACTTCAGCTCATTTCCATGCATAAACATACATCTTGTGTTAAACATATAGTACCTCACTGTAGATCTAGTGTGCTTACAGGCAGAGAAACCTGCCATGAACATATATATCAGATGATACTTTTCTTCTTCAATCCAACTCCATGGGCTAGAAAATCGGGTAGGGTATCCATAAAACTATTCTGGGGTTCCAAAAATTTCTCTTTATTTGACAAAGCTAAACAGTGTGAGGAAGCAGTTTGAATTATCAGTAGGATATTTGGCAGCACTTATCCAGGATATGAAGCAGCAATTACTGGTGTTATAACAATAGATAATTCTGGATTCTCATAATACTGTCAACAGCGAGGTGCTCTTTTTGAAAAGAGTTAATGGCAAACTAGTAATTTATGTCTAAGCAAATTGTTTAACCTGCCTCTGTTGATCAGAAAATAATACAGATGATCTACCAGCCTCTAAACACTGGCCAAGTAAGATTTGTCAGCTCTTATATTAGCTTGTAGAAAATTAGACAATATGATCAGTTTAATCTGTAGTTGAAAAAAAATGACTCTGATGATTTGAATCAATATGATTTTATTATTTTTGCTGTATTATCTAGAAAGAAATCTTCCTTTATTTTTCACTTTATTCTTTTTTGGTTTTTTTCTAGTTTTGCTACTTTTAATTCTTTTGTTATAGAGCCTGTTTTGAATAATAATATTTCAATTTTTAAGGTTTTGTATCTAAAAGCAGGATACTGTTTAAATGAGACTCAGTTAGGGGTAGTGGCTAAGGCACCATGCTAGAAACCAAAAGACTGCGAGTTCTAGTCCAACCTTAGGCACAAAGCCAACTGTGGTCCTGGGTCAGCCATTCTCTCTCAGCCCCAGGAAGAAGACAATGATTTTCATTTCTGAAAATCTTGCCAAGAAAACTTCAGGGATGTGTTCAGGAAATCACAAGGAATCAATATTAATTCCAAGAGACGAAACCCACCCTCCTGCCCTGTTTAAAGAAATAAAAATTATAATTAAAATATTGATCTATATATTTACTGTATTATAAGCATTGTAGCAATTTAAAGTGTTAAAATACTTTTACCCTCGTGGGGATTTTTCTAAGCTTCATTTTGTATGTGTACATAAACACAAATACAGAGATACATATTCATAACAAAGCATTTTATCCTCATTAACAATAGATAAAAAATTTGATACTCCTATGTAACTTCACACAAGATACAATACATATTTGCATTACATTACAAAAGTACTGTAAATGGATGCTTCTTGATAATTATTGTTTTCTTCTTGAATATGTGTACCTACATATCCAAATATGTAGGTACACATTAAATACTGTGCAGTTGTGTTTTTTTAAAGCCTTGTTTTTCCTGACTGTTATTTGGCATTTTGTTTGTCGAATTCATACATTTTTTAGCTTCAGAAATTCTTTAATTTAAAAAAGTATGATTTTTCTTCATTCTTCTAGTGCCCCTTGTTTAAACTAGAATCATGAATAATTGAGAGAAGAACAAAAAAAGGTGTTTAGCAGCCTTTATGAATTTACAGATTCCCCCCATTAAAATACTAACTTTGAAAGAGATTACTACTTACAATAGTGTTGAACAACCTACACTTTTGTATAAGTGTGTCAAATTTTAGTTTATATGCAATTTTGCAGCTAATTTAAATATGCATAATGGTTCATAGTTATGCTTTCAGAAATCTTGGAGCTCTCCAATATATGGATTTCTATTTTCAGAGTATTTGTGTGTTTGCAAGTCACCAATTCCAAAGATACTCCCATAAAAGTTATATTAAAACATTATCTTCAGTCTTAACATTATCTTCAGTGTTAATATAACAATAACTCTTAGAGGTCTTTCTTTAGTAACAGTGCATATTGAATAGCCTTCCAAACAGTTCTGTTTTCACTTCCTTTCTAAAAGGCAGTAGAGAGGGTATCATTCAAATTTTCGGGAATAGGCTGTTTCAGAGAGATGAAGCATTTTGCTTTCAAGCCCCCTGGCCTGAATGGGGGGTACTTAACATCCTTAATATAACATGAATTCAGGGGGTCATTTGGAATTATACAATGCAGGTGGTAATGTAGATACCAAACAACCAAACCATTCATGCTTTTATAGGTAGCCAGGTATCATGATGACCAGCCCCACACAATTGGGCAAGATCAAAGAACCAAGAGCTAAAATTCATTCACTCCCTCACTGATGGTTAGTGTGATGTAAATTCAAACTAAGACAAAACAACTAGCTGACAAACCGTACTGAACGAGTAGTCCTTAATGGTACTACATCTACATGGAGGGAAGTAAGCAGTGGGGTACCACAAGGTGCCATCTTATGTCCAGTACTCTTCAATATCTTCATAAGTGACTTAGATGATGGAATAAAAGGGGAACTCATCAAATTTGCAGATGACACTAAGAGGGTAAAAATAGCCAATACCCTAGATCAGGGGTAGGGAAACTTGGCTCTTATCACTTATGGACTTCAACTTCCAGAATTCCTGAGTGAGCCATAAAAGGGTCCCCATCCTTGGCCTACTGGTTTTTCAGTTGTGAGGGAAATCAATTTTTAATATACATATGTAGAGCATATGTCTTACATATATATGTATACATATCCTACATATATACAAATATACATTTGTATATTAAACAGTCCCATTCAAGTCAAAAATAGATTTCCCTCACAACTGAAAAACCAGTAGGCCAGGGATGGGGAACCTTTTCTGGCTCACTCAGGAATTCTGGGAGTTGAAGTCCATAAGTGATAAAAGAGCCAAGTTTCCCTACCCCTGCCCTAGATGATAGGCTCAAGATTCAACAGACTTGAACACTATGCCCTATCTAACAAAATGAAATTCAATGTAGAGAAAAGTAAGCCAGAAAAACTAAAAGTATACATACAGATTAGGTGGAACCTGGCTTAATAGCAGTAACTATGAGTGGGATCTTGAATTCCTAGTGGACAATCAATTAAATATGAGCTATTTACAATCAATTAAATATGAGCTAGAGTTTGGCAGCAACCAAAAAAGCCAATGCAATCTAAATTGCATTAACAGATGGCTAGAATCAAGTTCACATGAGATACTAATACCACTCCATAAAGCCTTAGTAAGGCCACACCTAGAATACTGCATCAAATTTTGGTGAACACACTAAAAAAGATGTTGAGACTCTAGAAATAGTACAGAGAAGAGCAACAAAGATGATTAGATGACTGGAGGTTACAACGTATGAAGAATTTGGTATATCTAGTTTAATTAAAAGAAGGACTAGGGTTGACATGATAGCAGTATTCCAATATTTGAGGGACTGTCACAGAGAGGAGGGGGACAACCCATTTTCCAAAGCACCAAAGGCCAGACAAGGTACAATGGATGGAAACTGATCAAGTTCAACCTAGAACTAAGAAGAAATTTCCTGACAGAACTATTAACCAGTGGAACAACTTGCCTCCAGAAGTTATGAATTCTCCAACACTGGAAGTTTTAAAGAAAAGATTGGACAACTGTTTGTCAAAAATGGTATAGGGTCTCCTGCTTGAACGGGGGGGTAGGACTAAATGACCTACAAGGTCCTTTCCAACGCTGTTATACTGTTAATGTTCTGTTAAATTTCTCACTCTCTCATGTAAGTTAATTAAGGCAGAGTCTCTTTGAATGATTCAAACGTTTCATCCTAGATCTCTATCCACTTGAACTAAGTTGTCATTTCTGGCTGTGAAAGGAGCGGAAGACATAACAGAAAGAAACATCTCTTGCAATTGCTTCTTTCTGTTTTGTCTTCCACTCCTATCACAGCCTCTCCACAATCTATCATATATGGTCATTGCTGACATTTCATGAACTGCTCCATATAACCAGAGAGCACTCAGATTGGAAAAGATTGTGGCAGCTAATAAAAATTGATCAACCTATCAATTTTAAGATTCAAAATGCAACCTATTAGGCATATAATTCTCCAATAAATAACTGCTTGATATTTATGCATACTTAACTATATATTGTGTTGTTTTTAGAAGTATGAATTTACATCTGAAGTCTGGCTTTCTAAGCAGGTATAGTATTATTAATTATTTGGAACAAAGTACAGATATTGATGATTTCTTAAAAGCTTGGGAGTAATTTCAGCAGAATATAAAAATAAATGACTTGGGTACCTCACTATAGTTGCTTTATTTTTCTGATGGCAACATAGAATAAAATTCTAGTATAGATCTTTGATTGCTTGGAGTTTTATATTGCCCAGCTTATTCTGATTCCTGGAAGTTTATATTGTGTATTAAACTATATATAATGACATAGTAAATACACATGGTTATCCAATCAGCCAGGCAAAAGGTAGCATAGGATTTCGCAGGGTAAGACTTACTTAGTATGCCTTTTGGCCCATGTGCCCATAGATTGCCAAAGGGAGGGACCTTCAGATTCTCTTTTCTCCAGAGCAATACATAATAAGTTTGTCATTAGACAAATGCCTAATCAAGTGTCTAATAAAAATGAATTTCAGTGCATTAGACAAGAAAACATCTCACTATTTGCATACATGACGATGATGCAAAATAGCCCTTCATGAGTTTTCCATTTTTAAAATAAAGTCAAAAATGTATAAAGTTTGATATTATACATAGTAGGTAATGTTATAAAATACAAGCTTTTCCACAGCTTTGTGTCATGCGCCACTTGTGTCCATTCCTGAATTTGCAAACTCTGCTAATAATCATTTATGACCTAGTCACCTTCAGATTGGACTGCTATAAGGCATTCAACATGGGGCTGGCCTTGAAGATTATCCTAAAGCATCCAGATGCAGGTGCAGAATGCTATTGCACAGGCAGTTATGTGTGCTCCTAGAAGAGTGGGTGTTACATCTCTGTCCTGCAAACTGCATTGGTTGCCCATTTGCTTCTAGGTCCAATTCAATGTGCTGACTCTAATCTTTAAAACCCTTTATGCTATGGCACTGGATTACCTGAGGACCCACCTGCCCCAAATTATATCATCCCCTACCCTATTGGATATGGCAGGGAAGGCATATTGTGTGTCCTGTCAGAGAACCACATTTGGTGGGTCTCATGAGGTGGGCTTTCTCTGCTGTAGAGCTTGCTTTATTTATTTATTTAAAATTAAAGTTTCTCTGGGAAGATTACAATATAATAAAAGTAACAGCGATAATACAAAGGAATTAAAATTGAGAGGATTAAATACAAAGCTAAAAACCAAGAGGATGGATGGTCTGGGCATGGGGATTTTCTCTAGTATGACAGCAGGGGTGGGATGCAAATATTTATATTACTGGTTCTGTGGACGTGGCTAGGTAGGAATGGCCAGGTGGGCATGGCCATGTGACTGGGTGGGTGTGGCTTCTTTTTTCTTTCTTTTTTTTCCCACCCCTCCCCCTGCACTCTTTTTTGTTTTGCCTCCTGGGGGGGTGTTTTTGCTCTCAAGAAGGTTTCCTGAGGCCCAGGAAGAAAAAAATGGAGCACAGGGGGGCCGCACAATACCCCCACCTCCCCACGCTCCATTTTTTTGGCCTCCTGGGCTTCAGGGAAGCCTCCTGGGGGGCAGTGTTTTTGTTCCCAGGAAGCTTCCCTGAGGCCCAGGAAGGCAAAAATGAAGCTTCCCCCCGTGCCCCCTTTTGCCTCTTGAGCCTCAGGAAAGCCTCCTGGGTGAAGCAGTAAGACAGCAAAGGGGATTCCAGCACAGCTGATCATTGGAACAGCTGATCGTCAGGAGGAAAAAAGAAATGCCTTAAGGAGTGACTGGGTGGGGGAGACTGCAATCAGTGATGTCATGTGTTGTGTAGTCGTTGGGATGACACACGAGGCAGACACGGAGCTGAAGGCTAACACAATCTATTTAAACATAGCAGGTTGATGCGGCTGCCCTGGCTGGGCAGGCAGCCCGGAGAGCGAGAGCTGCCCTGGCTGGGCAGGCAGTCCGGGAGCGATGGCTGCCTCGGCTGGGCTGGCAGTCTGGGTGACGTTAGCTGCCTCGGCTCGGCAGGCGGTCCGGGAGGCGTTAGCTGCCTCAGCTCGGCAGGCAGTCCGGGAGGCGTTAGCTGCCTCGGCTCGGCAGACAGTCCGGGAGGCGTTAGCTGCCTTGGCTCGGCAGACAGTCTGGAAGGGCTGTAGCCGCTCCGGCTGGGCGGGCAGTCCGGAGGGCGACAGCTGCTCCGGCTGGACGGCAGCCCGGGGGGGGGATAGCTGCCTCGGCTGGGCGGCAGCCAGATGGTGAGAACTGCCCCGGCCGGGCGGGCAGCCCGGGGGGCAAGAGCTCTTGCGAGCGCTGCCCCGTTGGTCCGCGCTCCGCCCGCTTCGCTTCGCTTGGCTGGCTCTGCCCGACAGCCAGCTTTTATAGCCGACTGTCAAACAGAGCCAGCCAATGGGAACGGCTGGAGTTCCCGCTCAAACAGCGGACCTGGTTGGGAAACCCCAACCAGTTCCCAACCAGTTCAAAAGACATAACAGAAACTGTCAGGGACACAACACCCCTTCCCCCTTAGCTAGGGACATGGCAGCCCAGGCTGGGGCTGTGGTTGGGCAGGGACACAACATCATGCATGCACAATAAGGACTGACTGGGCAGGAAGGGGTGGGACCAGCCAGGGGCACACTTTGATGGTTCTCTGAACTGTGCAGAATCATAACAACCGGTTCTATAGAACCAGTCTGAACTTGTAGAATCCCACCCCTGTGTGACAGCCATATCCAATATAGCAGCCCTCTGTCAGGGCTTCAGGCCAAGCAGTAGAACCAAGTTTTCAGGCTTTTCCAGTGGCCAGGAGTGTGGGGGGAAGAACTCACCTCTAATGGGAGAATATTACAGAGAGCAAGGGCTGCAGAAGAAAAGACCTAACCAGCCAAAATTCTTTGGTCAATGGGATCCTAAGTAAGCCTCTTCCATGGAAACTAGTATGGCAGGCTGCACACACACATACATACATGCATACAAGTGTAAAGTGATTATCATGGACTATATTTGTATTTTCAGATATCCACAATCCCTAAGAAAATACAGACATAGCCAATGATTCACACTAGTAACTTACTGGAAGACAGAAGTTTCATGTAAGTTTCCTACAGTGTTAATGGTAGTTATATTTCACTGTAAAAAGATGTCCTGGATTCTAGGAGGTTAGCTCTCTTTAAGTAATTTTCTGGAGGTCAGGAGTATTGTACTTGCATTTCCTTCAAGGTGAGGAGGTCTCTCAGAATGTTCCCAGAGCCAGCTTGCATAGAAAGCTTTCTTGTGTTCCTGTGAAGGCAAGTTCAGTTTCACTTTGGACCTCTGTCAAAATTCATGGAGGTCAGGAAATCAAGGTGAGACCCGCCTGTGAACTCTGTTCTCTGCTGACCTTAAGCCTTCCATACATTAACCTAAAGACACAAAGAAGGATTTACTCTTTTGCAAAGCAGTTTAAAATTACTATTTGGTGTGTGGCGGGGGGAGTTTCCAAGTAATGGAATTGCTTTTTGAATTATTTTTGGGCTTTGTTTTCTTGCCTCTTTATTTCATTTAGAAGATATCTGTAGCCACCCACCTTATGCACCATGACCCTAGATGGCTTATAAGCCATTGTAAAAACAGTAAAAACATAGAATCATATTTATGCCATAATATATTGTTTAACTTCAATGTGTTCAGTATTTGAATATGCCATCCATAAAAATGATAGCATATATGAGGCAGTTTTTAACAATAATATTTTCTCTGGTTTTTTTTTTTTTTTTACAGAATGAGGAACCAGTTTTTTCAAAAGATGGCAATACATTTTTTATGACAGTTCCAGTTAAACAAGGTGGTCGTGGTGAATTCCACCATATCGCTATGTTTAATGTTCAGGTGAGTTTCTTTTACTTAAGTTAGATTCCAGCCTAGATTCTAATTCCAGAATTATCCTGCTTTCCGGAATGAAGATGTACCATAAATAAATGGGTCCTTCCATATCTCCAATACTATTATTAATTTTGCAAAGAAAATTAAGAAATAAATCTCTCCTAGGATGAGAAACTTGCATTAAAATATTTCCTGTCCAACGCACTCGATCCTATGAACTTTTCATGATGCAGTTCTAGGCACATAGTTTTAATTCAATCTGAGCCAAAGACAGACAAGAGTTCGTTTTAACCGTGTGCTCAAGCTCTGTTTGAATCTTTTTAAAGTCAGTGGCATACGTATATTTCATATTGATATCAATGGATATTAATAAAGATATGGATGCTAAATATAGATGCTGTTTTCATTAGTAGAAGTCTCTACTGCACCAGCTTTAACGTTTACAGATTATTTATGAATTTTTTTCTTGCTGACCATTATTTCTTCTTTCTCCTATTTTTCTGCAAGTAATATATTGATCTAACTAAACCAAACATCATTGATGCTAATAGAAGAGACTATTTGTAGTTTGGGGTTGAGCTGTGGAGTCCTTAGTGCTCTCTGAATTGGTTTGTTTTGTTTTTGTTTTTTGAACATGTTTCCTTACCCAAGTAGATAACATCTTCAGCTAATGCTATTTTGTGAGTCAAGTATTGAGACATTGTATATATATATACAATATATAATTTTCATAATCAGAAGACCAAGATAGAGTTCCCTGCTTGTGGAAAGATTTAGAGCTTAACTATATAAATATTAAGGGGAAAAAAATGCTTCCTTGAATCCCATTTAAGGACATAGAGGGTATACTGTCATTGAGAATTCAAGGAAATTAATGTGAGATACAACAGTTGGATATCTGTTGACTTTACCTTCCGAAAAAACCCATGGATATGTATGGACATTGGTGTTTTTTTAACGCAGGTGTATGCTCAGCAAAGCAAATGCTATAATTTGTATTTTGTTTCTCTTTAAGGATAGTATCATCATCATCCAAACATGACTTTCTTACTCATTCTCTTCCTTTCAAGCCATTCACTTTTCTTTCATACAGTTGTTTTTTAGTTCGATCCTCATTCTGTAATATGTCTCAATCCCCTCAGTGTACGTCAAGAGTACCTGGGTACAAGGAGAGGCTCAAGGGGTCAAAATAACAGCTGCAACTGTACAAGTGAAAACCTGACACTTTTTAACATGCAATTTAGGTTACTGTATTGAGGGTTTTTTTTTTTTTTACTTCTCTGCCAATGCCCCAGATATATTACTTTTGTATTCATCACTCACATTTGCATTCCATCTAGTTCCATTCATTCTTGGCCCTATCTTAATTTTACTGCAAACTTAAATAACTCATTTTCATTGAACTCAACTTAAATTCTTTGTAATCCTAGCATAATCAATTTACATTTTCATACAAGACAGTACCCAGAAGCACCCTCTTATACAAGTCCATTTTTTCAACAAATATTCATTACTATGTGCTACCTTTTTACCATCATTTGCCTGTGTATTCATTTTTCTATCTTCAGTTAACATTTTACTAAAATACACAAAGTCAGCTATTGCTATTTGCTTATTTTTTACCATTTGTATAAAACTTGTGTTAATTCATTCATTCAATTTTACATGTCAAAAACAAATACCTTGAGCTTTGATTCATGAATTTTCAGATTCATGTTTCTCACTACATCACACAATATATCTAACATTTGCTGTAAATCATTCATGCTCCCAGGCAAAATCACAGCATCATTTGCATACAGAAATACAGACATATAACTATTTCAATCAACAAATCTCAAGCAACATTATGAGAATTCATATAATATATATGAACTTGTATATATATGTGTGTTTTCTTAAGTTTTCACGCGTACTTACATGTATGGTATTCAGCTTTGTTTGGGTATTTTCCCACATCATTATAGTTGTGCTTTTAAAGTTGTAGCAACATTTCAGCAGAATCTCATCTGTCATCATCAGGCTTCTGTATAATGTTCGTCTGTGAGTCAGACTTTCACAGCTGTTTCAGTTTTAAATTTGGGGCTAGCCTACTGCTGTTCCAGAATGTTTTTTTCTTCATCCTGATTGGTTGGGAGTCTTGGTCTATGTTTATTGGTCTTGGAGTTTGAGGTGTTCTGCTTGATTGGTGTTTCTAATATCTTCTGTCTGTTTTGTAGTTTTTTTGTCTTGATTGGCTGGCAACATTGTGTTTCCTGTATTGGAGGCTTTTAGTGCGGCTTGGCTCTGAGTAAATGGATGGCTATCATTTATTAGGAAGCTAGGTTTCATCTGGGTGCCTGGTTGGGGTGTGTTTGAGCTGGAGGTATCAGGGGAATTCTGTTTGTGCCCAGGTGTTTGCCTGGCTTGTGGTGTGGAGATTTTTTTTGTTTGAGAGTGCAGGCTTCCAGATAATTGACAGTCTGGTGGAGTCATCTCTTCTATTCATGCTTTCAGGTCTTTTTTCAATCTCTATGCCTTCTCTGATAATTCTGTAGCTGGAGTTTTCTATAGTGGCTAGGGTTTTGGTGCCATTGAAGTCAATGCTATGACTTGTGGCTTTCATGTGTTGGACTAGTGAGGAAATGTGTTCCAGCTTTTTTACTGCATTTTTGTGTTCATCTAGGTGGGTACTTATTCTTCTATTGGTCTGTCCAATATATGTGGCAGGGCATGGCGTGCAGGGGACATATATATATGCCTTGGTGTTCTAGGTCAATTTTATCTTTGGAGTTTCTTAGACTGGCTGCTATCTTTCTGTCTGTTTTGAAGGCAGTCTTGATGTGATGCCTGTGTAGTATCTTACTGATTTTGTCTATAGTACCTCTTATGTAGGGCAGGACAGCTGTTCCATAGGTCTGTTCATCTTCTAGGTCTTCATTATGTCTCAGTGTGTTTTTGTGGATCAAGCCGGTGATTCTGCTTTTGTGGAAGCCGTTGGCTGTCAGTACTGTAGTCAGGGTGCATAGTTCAGTCTTTATGTGTGTCTTGTCTGCCAGGCGTTTGGTTCTAGCAATTAGTGTTTTAGCCACAGAGTTTATCTGTGCTGGATGGTGGTGGGACTGGGCATTGAGGTAGCGGTTAGTGTGTGTTTTCTTCTGGTATATGGTGTGTCCTGGTGTGCCATCTGTTTTTTTGCAGATTAGTACATCTAGGAATGGTAGTTGTTTGTTTGTTTCCGTTTCCATGGTGAACTTGATTTTGGGGTGTGTGCTGTTTAGGTGTGTTAGGATATTGTTTAGGTTTTCTTTTCCATGGGACCGAATCACAAATGTGTCATCGATGTATCTTAACCATAGTTTGGGTTGTGGGTGGCATTATCCAGGGCTCTGGATTCGAATTCTTCCATGAACAGGTTCTCAATGACGGGTGACAGTGGTGATCCCATAGGGGCTCCTTCAATTTGTTTGTATCTTTGTCCTTTGTATATGAAATATGTGTTGGTTAAGCAGTGTTCTGTTAGTTCCATGGGGTGTTTGGGTGGTTGGTATTTATTTTTGATGGTTTCAAGAGTCTCTTTTATTGGGACTTGAGTGAATAGTGAAACCACGTCGAAACTTACAAGCAGATCTTCTTGCTCCACATGTAGACCTTTGATCATTTCCAAGAAGTGGTATGAGTTTTGTACTTGTGAAGCTGCTGTTTCAGCATGCGGCTGTAGCTGTTTTGCTAAGTGTTTAACTAGGTTTTGTAGTGGTGCTCCTCTGGAGCTGACTATGGGTCTGAGAGGTATGCCTTCTTTGTGTATTTTTGGGAAGCCGTATAGTTTGGGGCATCTGGAAGATTTTTCTCTTGGGATGATCGTCTGTTGGATCTCTTTGCTCATGTGGCTGGTTATAATTTTCTTCTTAGTTATTTTTCCAGATATGTGGTTGGGTCCGTGTTTATGGGTTTGTATGTGGAGTCTTGAAGTAGGTCTGTCAATTTTGTTTTGTGTTTTGTATGTATGTATGTGTATATGTATATCTATATGTATATGTATATGTATGTATACATTTTGACATCACCACCATGACAACATACTTTCTTATCTTACTCCCTACTAAATATATTCCATATTTCTCATGCATCTTTCATCTCTTAATTTTACAAATCCTAAATATATCTATTTTTATTTGTCATTTCATTTGTGTTTTGTTCCATTCAGTTCTTTCTTTCAAATTGCAGTCTTTTATATATCCTGACTGATACCACAAGGGCCCGTAGAATTTGACCTCTGCTGTCAATAATTGCTTTGATCAATTAAGGAAAGTTGTGGCACAAAAAATGTTAAACTTATTATTTTTTGCAGATCAAAAATGAACAATTTAGTATACGACATCTGACATCAGGGAACTGGGAAGTTATAAAAATCTTGGCATATGATGAAAATACCCAAAAGATGTGAGCATTATTTTTCTTTGTCTGTTCAGGTAAAATATCTGTGTTATCAAGATAGAGTCAATGTTACTGGTATAGCAATGTTAATTATGTTTCTTTTGTTACTAAATGCTAATACTAGCCATGAACCATAAATACAAAGACAAACTGTATTTAATCTCTTGATATATTCTAGGAACTTTTCCTGAATATTAAAATAAGGCTAGGCTATAATAAAATCTGCTTTAAACTATTGATTGAAATAAGAAAATCCAAACATTGGGTTAGGCAATAATATTTTCAAGTGGTCTTGCTTTAGAATCTTAAGTAGTCAGATCATTAGGATTTAAAAATGAAATACATTTTCACCTTTGGGTCTTCCATTTTAAAAATCTGCTTACCTTCGAGAATAATAAGGAATGGTTCTTGTTCGTTTGTCTTAGGTTGTAAATGGATGTGCTTCCCAGTACTGTTAGCAGAAAGGATTTCTCAGGAATTATTGAAAAATGTCACTTATTAATAATTGCCTTTGTTAAGACTTCAATCCTGTATTGCACAGAAATAAACCTTGTTGAATGTGATGAGATTTATAAAGGATTTCATTTAAATATGTATAACTGTTGAAGCCATTTTCCAATATAACAGATGTTTAGTTATTGGTGCCCAGTATGAGAATAAGTTAAAGTCTGTGTTGTCTTTAATATCTCTGTTGTCTTTAATACAAACAAGGTGGGAAACCTTGCATTCTTTTTCTCAGAACAAAATCAATTGTTCTGCCTGATCATTAGTTAATCCACTTCTCCTTTTTAATATGGGAGAATTGAGGCAGACAATCTCTTCTGAACACAAAACAGTAAGACTTCTGACAAAAAAACATGTATCTTAATCATTAATTAAGTTCCATCTGCCTAGAACATAGCATATGCAATAATTCAATTTTATTTTTACAAAGTCAGATATGCTAATTCTCGAGTTTTCTTCTTAATCGCCCGAGGACACATTCTAGTCAACATGAATGATCATGATGTTCATGATTACAAAACTGTACTGTGGCCTCAAAAATGAGTTGGATATCTTATCCTGAAAGGGGAAAATAAGTCTAAAATTGCAAAGCTTCTTTGCTAATGCAAAATTAGGATGTAAAGAAATAGATTAGTCTCAGGATGTTTTGTGGATAGACACTTTAATCTATCTAATGGTAAGAATGATCCTGCTCTCCTACATTACTGAAATCCCTAGGTCTGATGTTCATTATGTTTATTATCTACAGCAAATTAGTACATATTCATCTGGCCTAAAGGTGGTTTTTTTTCTCATTTTGCCAGTTATTTTTTAAGTACTGAAAATTCACCAAGAGGAAGACAATTACATAGGTAAGCCGATCCGGTGCAATGCGATTCCTAAGTGATTGACAGGGCTGCCTCTCTTTGTTTACAAAAAAGCTATTAACTTAAATGTCAAAAGAGATCCTGTGCATACCTTAGAAATTCTGCATGAATCTGTGGGTTTATAAAAGTAGCAAATTTCATAGGAACAATACATATTGTGACAGAAAGATAATAACCCAAAGACATCCTTCACAGTATAATACTAACTCTAGTTAGCATTTTATATGCATTGGAAAATACCAAGGAAATACAAGTAATAAAAATCAGTGTGGTTCTCTTTCATTATAAGCCTGGTGTTCACAAATACTGTATGTATTTCCATATCCTCCATTCCTCTGCTAGAGAAAAAAAATGGTGATATGTAGAGAGGACGTTTGACAGAAGGAACAATGTAGCTCTGTTCAGTAGGGGTATACCATGTCTTACAACTGTTTGTTTAGTGAACATTCAAAGTTACAATGGCACTGAAAAAAGTGACTTATGTCCATTTTTCATTCTTCTAACCATTGCACCATCCCCATGATCAACATTCAGGTGCTTGGCAATTCATTCATATTTATGACATGTCCTGGGGTCATAGATTCACCTTTTGCAGCCTTTTGACAAGCAAAGTCAATGGTGAAGCTGGATTCACTTAACAACTGCAGTGATTCACTTAACTGTGTCAAGAGAGGTCATAAAATGGGGCAAAACTCATTTAATGACTGTCTTGCTTAGTAACATAAATTATAGGATCAATTGTGGTCATAAGTTGAGGACTACCTGTAGTGTCTGAAATATTGACAAATCTGAAGAATTTTTCCCTATAATAATATATTTGTAGTGAATATTAGCTATAGGTTTTCTTGTACTTGATCATATTTTTTTTTACTTCCTTAGTGTGTCAACAACTGAATTGCTGAATCGTCAATGCCTCTCATGCAATTTTATGAAAGATCATTGTACATATTTTAATGCAAAGTTTAGTCCTTCAATCAAATATTTCATTCTACAGTGTAAGGGTAAGCCAGGCTCTTTTTTTTACTGTACTTATTTTTTTTTAAAAAATGAAATGTTTTTGTACGTCAGAAAAAATGTATCTCAATGATAACTATTACAAATAAAAAAATTTATATCATTATAGTACTGTAGTTACAAAATCTCAACTCTAGCGTTATACATTTGTTGTGTATACTATATATGAAAATTGCCTTACTGGACAGTTTAAATTTTGTACTGATAAATTTGATCATTCCTATGATAGAACGGCCTACGAAATAAGGAACTAAAGGAGAGGGATGGTTAGAAGTAATTATATAAAAGATGTACTAAAGTTGAGGTCACTAGTTATACTATTTAAGAGGATATCACTCATTCCTTCAATGTATTCAAATTACACACAGCCAAAAGCTTGGATAGTTGCAGATCTAGATCACATTTTTGAATCAGTGACATAAATAACATTGTTGTATTCATTAGTAAAATGCCTAAGGAGGTTATGGAAGTTGCTGGAGAATGAACTACATACACAGATATTTATGTTTGTTTGTTTATTTATTTATTTATTATTTACTTACGGGTATAGACATTTCACAATCCACAGTTCTAAGGGAATACATTTCTAAAGACATCCAGTATTCTGAACTTTGCAGATTGCAATACCATAAGAGGAGAAAGAATAGGATGGACTCTTTCACTAGTGTGTTCAAGTAGAAGCAAGGGATGTTTTGATTTGAATTCCTGCATTGAGCAGGGAGGGGATAGGTTTGACATCCCGAAAGGCTCCTTCCATGTCTATTATTCTATGAAATCAGGTGCCCCCTTTACCAGGGCACTCTTATCTGTGCATTGAATCAAAGCTACAAGACATTTGGATATGTTTCTTCTGAGATTTCCACTCAGTTTTCTAATGGCCTCCAAATGACTTTGCAAGGTCTGAATGCTCCCTGTTCTCTCTTTGATTTAATAGTAGCTGCAGGTACTCTGTGCTTTATATAATCAGGCTATTAATTGCTTTGTGTGTCAATTTCTCAGCTGTAAAATTGAAATGATGAAGATAATAACAATCACACATTTATTATTTCCCAGCAGACTATGGTATTGCCTTGGCATTAATAGGACCATTCATATGCAAAGTATTAAAACATATGCAGTAGCAGTTTTGAAAACTGTGTCTTAGAATATGTTTTGCTTTAGGTTTTTTTTTTAAGTTGAGAAATCCAAAGTTAGTTTCTTTTATTTACTTCCTCTGTGTGCCTGTTCTTCTGTGTTTTACAGGTCCCGGTGTTCCGATTGTTAGCCTGCACAGCACAGTTAATCCTGAAAGTAAGTTATACCAGTTCACTAGGGTTTTTCTTGTGGGTTTTCTCCCTTTCAATTGAGGCCATCAGGAAATTAATTTCTAAACCTTGTCTTAATTACAACCTAGGAATAAACATGTACGTAAGCAATAAGGACAGTAATTAATACAGTAGCTATAATTTATCAGGGATTTTTCGGACTGATCTTACATTATTGTGTACTCTTTATTTCCCATTAATGCTTACAATAATTAGATGGCACAGTGGCACAATCTCTTTAAATAACTATGCAAATTGAGTTCCTATTTCAGTACTTCTAATATATGCCTTAAAAACTTTATAACTCTAATACAATTAGTCTGGATTAAGGAATTGTTTCTGAGTGCCAGTTATCTAATTCATCCTTTTTTAATGATACAAATATCATGTGTGCTTAAATCTCTCTGTTTAAGCAATTCAGCACATTCATGTGCACACATACATAAGATACATATATAGTACATGCAAATACATATAGGTTTTCTATAGAAGTAACTTTTTCAAAATATGTTTTTGAAATATCTCTTCAAAATATATAACTTCAGTATATTCAATGGAAAAGTGCATTATTTGGATAATTGAACTATTCACTTTAATTGGGGAAATACGTGAATTTAAATGAATGTTCATATATGTATTTTGATTTAAAGCACAATATTCTTGCCCATAATAAATATAGTAGACTAAATAATATACAATGAAATCATAGTTTTAGAAATGAAACATACAGGCTGAATCTTGCCTGCAAAAATTCAGAGGAAAAAATTTATTTGTATAGAAAATTGTGGAAACATACATACATATATACATATGTGTAAACTTGATCATCATTTCTATTAGTGAAATAAAAACTATATGATTCAATTTTAGTCAAAATATTGTTTTTAAAACAGCTTAGTTGACACTTTGAAACTGCTTCCTAGCTAAATTAAAAATTATTTCATTAAACTGAGATGTGGTTTACCAATTTAAAAATTTGTTTAGAGGAAACATATCAAATAGCTATCCATATGCAATTGGTGCCTTTTTCTTTTTTTAAAGGCACATAATCCTTCAAACTGTAATATTACAGTTTTAGAGATTTATCAAAATCCACTAATATATATGTGTATACAGTATATCCATATTTATTTTACTCTTTAGATATGCCTTTCCAAAAGTTGGTCTTTAAAGATATGGACTGCATCTGTCATATAAATTCTATTTTAAAATTTCCATCCAATTAAACATGCATGTACATTGATTCCTTTCTTTGCCTTTTTATTTTACAGATTTTTATATTTTAGAAAATAACTCTGTTTTAAAAAAAGCAATTTCAATGAGAAAAATACTACGAACAGAAACTAGAATGCTTCACATTGATGACTATGGTAAATATACTAGAAAATTCTGGAAAAGTCAATATATGTTTTCAAGTAGTATTTTTAATTCATCTTTCAAACTACCAGCCTTTAATGTTTTGCTCTTTTCTTAAAAGAACTTCCTTTACAGTTAACATTTCCAAAGGATTTCTCAGAACGAAATATGTATCCACTTCTCCTAATAGTGTAAGTATAAGCCTAATAATTTTAAAATTTGTGAAATTGATGTATTATATTGTTTATATGTTATATGGCCTTACGAATGGCCATTTTAATTATAAAAGTAGCATCATATGTTCATACAGCTATAATTTCATTAATGATGACATAAATGATTTTAATAAAGCAGAAAAAAATCTTCATTCTCAGATATGGAGTTAGAGGAATTGTTTACTATGTAATCCAAAATGGCTATATATTACCTGTCTTGTCGAATATTTGATTCTTATCCATTTTCAAAGAACTTGGAACTTAGAATAAATTTATTGTCACTTTGAATGTACACTAATCAGCATACATTAAAATGAAATTTCATTGCATACAGCTCACAAAGGGTCACCACCTCCAAGAGACACTACATAAACATGACAAATAAATACAAAAGTATGTATATGCCCACATATATTACATGACACACAGAAACAGTGCAACCTAGTTCAGATGTATACATGTACATGACGAGAAAAACTAATCTTGCGAGTTTACCAGATGGACGCCATAGGAAACAAAGCTGTTACAGAATCTGTTTTTTTGTAGAATTGATGTTGGCTTACTGTAAACTGCAAATTATGCTGGGATTGTATTATTCAACTGCCATATCAATCAAGCCTTCAACTTTTTTTAATATTCCAGTTGTAAACCATTTCCAGATTTTATCCTTATCCACTTTCTCTTTGATCTTTTTTATCATTTGATTGTGCAGTGCTTTCCCTTGCCAGCATTCTGTTCTTGTTTTTACTATTTTACTTTAATATTTATGCTTTGTTTTCTGCACATTCAGTAAGTTCCAATTTGTATCAATGCATGTTCTTAGTAGTCTTTTATGTAATCAGCCAATGCATGTTTTTCTTTTTTGACCATTTGTGTAACTTGAACTAAACCTCTGCCTCCATTTCTGCAGGACAAGTATTATTATTATATTATTGAAATAATACCTGTATGATTGTTTTTAATAAATTTAAAAGGTAGTGGCATGCAGTAGTTTTCAAATTTGGAACTTTTTGTCCCTACCGCAAATACACTAATCCTAAAACACTTCAAAAGTGCCCAGAGTATGCTTGTTTGGCATCTGTAAGACTAATTTCAAACACAACGGACAGTCTGAACATTTCTGGAATGGTTAGAACAGTGTCAGACAACATTTAACAAGGTCAGAACAACCTGCTTTGAGCTAAAAATGCTTAGAATCCAAAACATTTTCCCCATTTCTACTGAAGATGTTAAACAAGTTCAGACCATATTCAAAGCGTAAAAATGGCATCTAGGCAATATTCACTTCATCCAAAATTCCTAATGGATTAAGCCAATTTTAAATGAAATTTAGAGGTGGACACTTTCTGTATCCTCTCTAATTTTTTTGACTGTTTTGGAGATGCAGAAACATTAGAGGCCTGTAGTTTCTGATTAAGAAAAAAGAAGTAAACTGGCATAGACCACTCAAATAAGTTATTATTAACATTGAAAAACTATACGAAGTAATCAAGATTCTCCTATCCTTGTTATAATTCTGACAAGATTTTTCTCAGGTATGTGAAAATGAGGGGAAATGACTGTGCAATTCACAGCCACCATCAGTTTTATAGGAAAGTGGCAATTTTGAATAATGATGAAAGGATCGTTTTTATACCTTGTATACTCATACTGATATTATGTATTATTTTAACATAAAAATGATGCTGTGGTTTGTTTTTGTTTTACCTTCTGGGTAATTGTTACTGGTGCCTCATAAAATATATAGAATGCCATTAAAGGAGCCGAGGAAAATAAAATGAAATACTACATTAAAAAGTTTCAGCCCTCAGTGAATGGTGAAAGCCCTCATGGTTTCTAAAAGAAATCTTTTTGTCTATTTAGTTATAATATTAGTGAATAGATAATATATGAATGAGGAGAATCAGCAGACGAGAATATACTTTATAATGTCTCTTCCTTTCTTTATAATATTGAACAGAAGGAGAAGTTGCTACTAACTATAGTTCCCATATGAAAGTGACTTCAGGGACATCCTTGGCATAACAATTATTAAAATAATGTATTTAATCAGTATCAGTACTTCACTGAGCATCACTGATCATAAAATGAAAGAGTTATAATTGACTGTGTATTTATTTATTTACTAGGGATTTATTTATTCTGTAGAATTTTTAAACTGCACACAGTCGTTTCTTATTAGAGTTGGTTTATAAGCTTATAAGCCCAAGTAAGTAAGTAAATAAGTACATAAATAAACAATTCCAATAGAATTTGGACACTGTTATTGCCTTCTTGTTCTAAATGGATTGAATAAAACGTGGAGCAATTATGTAGCTTTCATGGCTGCCTGGTTGTGGACATGTATATATCTGTTTAATTGCCAATGAACTAACTTAGTATATAAATAAGGTTAACTGCCCTACTGTTTCTTTCTTTCACTAAGAGGAATTCTCAACATATGACTTGTTTACCTGCAGGCTACTAAACTTATTTTCCTGATTCACATAACTATTTTTAACAATCTTCTAATTTGTTTCATGTTTCATTCATAAATACTGCCATAATAAATACTGTACTATAAATACTATCAAATATTCAGCTTAACAACATATACACACACATATATAAACATGTATGTATGTATGTATGTATGTATGTATGCATATTAGTGGTGGCTTTCGACCAGTTCCGCCCGGTTTTGGCGAGCCAGTAGCAGCAATGAGCAGCAGAGACTGAACAGGTTCTCTCTGCCACTCTGCTATTGGGCCCACCCTCCAACCTGGCCTCCCATACTCACCTTTATCTGCTGAATTTGAAGCGCAGCTGCTTTGGGCGGCTCAGAAGAGTGCCACATGGCAGCTGCTGAAGCAACAGGGATTATGCAGGCTTGCAGGAGGCAAGTGAGAATGCCCCTGCGCCTGCGCAAATACTCTGCACCTGTGCAAAATGTGTGTTTGGCATGCTCATGCATGCAAAGTGTGTGCACGTGTGCAAAGTGCACCCACCAAGCTAAGCCCACCGGATCGGTGGCAACAATATTTGAATCCCACCACTAATGCATACATACATACATCCTATGTATGTATGTATGTATGTATGTATGTATGTATGTATAATTATCCCACAAAAACCAGAGCTGAATAAAGAAAAATTAAAGTGGCCTAAAATATTTGGAAAAGGTAGGAGAGTATTAGATTTTATACAATAGCAATAAGCCTGTTATAAAAAGCAAACAAGATTTCCTTAGAACATTCTACAGATTAATACTTCAGCAAGTTCATTAGATACTTGTTTTCTACTTTGCACGGGGAATTTTCTCATTAAAAATGCTGGGATGTCAATTTCAATGATAGTAAGACAACATGGGGGGCGGGAACCATTTAGATCAAGTCTGTCAAATCTGCAGTCTGCAATTAGGGTTCACCCTGGTTGGCCCTGTCACATCCAGTTTAACAAAGAGAGGGGAAAGTTGCAAATATATCACGTGATGATTCCGTGATGACATGAGTTTGACACCCCTCATTTAGAACAATGTTCCCTAGTAGCACTTTGAGTTCAGTCTAGAAGCACCCCAGTTAAGCTATTCTAATACTTCTTTAAAATAAATTTTTATTAACATTTTATAAAACATGTAAAAATGTGAAGGGAGGGAGGGAGTAAGGAAGAAAGGAAGGAAAGAAGGCAATTTACAAAATTATTCCATATTTTAAATTACAAAAAAACTCTCACTTTTTCTATTATCTTTTTTTTTCTATTCTTCAAAATCACAAATCACAAGTGTATGGGATTTCCAGTTGACCATAAATTATACCATAAGTGTATGGTAGACACTGTTTTTCTCTAACTGAAGAAATTAATTTAACTATCTTTACAACTTTTATCAACTTTACCAATCATTCCTCTGTTGTAAGTAGTGTCAAGCCTTTCTGTTTTTGAGCATATAATAATTTTGGTCCAATTGTCATAAATAAAAACAAACTTCTGTTATTTTTTCTGATAGCTTATCCATTAGTTCCAAAAGAAGATTCTCTAGTTTCACTTGTACTTTAAGTTTTAATAATTTTTCAATTTATGTGTGCATTTTTATCCAAAACATTTTAGCTTTTTTTTACATGGCCACTAAACATGATAAAAATGTATCTTCATGTTCACATTTCCAACAAAGATTCAAGTACTTTTATAGGTTCTAGACAATTTCTCTGGCAACAAACATCAACAATACCTAATTTTATAAACATTCCCTTTAAAGCTGGAACATAATATAAATTTCAGTCCTTTCAATCACATATTTTCCCAATGGTCCATTTATATTTTATAGCTAAAGTTTTTTGCTCTTTTTATGATACATTATTTCACTTGTTCTTCTGTCTTTATTTCACTATTTCTTCTGCAAATAGTATTTCAATAAAGATTAATTCATTTTATCAGTAACATGTTCATCATTATACTGTACATAATTCTATTTCAAATTCAATCTTACTCTGTGTAAAATCATAATATCCTTTATCCACTTTAATTTTTTCTTTTAATTGTACATAAGAAATTTACAACAACGTCCCTCAGTTATTGAATTTTGATTTCATTTTACAATCCCCTTGAAAAATTCTAGTACATCTTGGTAGAGTAACTAGTTATGTTTATTTATCATTTCTCATCTAGAAAATGCTTCTTGTGCTGATAAGCTCTTCTAGTAGCATTGAAATATGATTTCTAAGCACTCATCCAATTATAAAAGCTATATTTTAAACAGCCTGTGGCTTATAAATATTTTTCAAACACAAATTCATATGTTAGCATAAAGTGTGAATTGGGTGCTATTATATTAAAGATAATGTGGTTTGCTTAATTTCACCTAGTATAGCTTATACATATGTATTCCTTATTCATCAAACACATTTTAAAAAAAATAGGGCTTAGCCTTAGGTGTGAACGTATCCAGTTTCTCAACCTAGAACATGCAAAATATGAATAATATAAAAAGTGAGAGATGCTAT